TTTTTTTTTTTGGGAGAGGTTTTTGCTATAGGGCGCGTGCGCTCGCCAGACAGACAGAGAGACAGAAAGCGAGAAATCACTTCCCGGGGGGATAGCCATGCTGCAATCCCTTCTCCTCCATTCTCCTCTCGGGATCTTGGGCACACACGCACATGAGCCCGGCGTGAGTTTTAAGCCACAGGTCCAGGACGCGAACCGCGGTCGACTATGTGGGAGTCCAGCAACATAACCATTACGCTAACTGCTGGTCCCAACACTTACTCTTCATACTAAGACTGGAGCCCAGGACTCCGTGGGTAACAGGGGCGTCATTACTGAGTCCCTCCTCTGGGCCAGGCACAGTGCAGGACACGTACATCCACACTATTCCTCACAACAGCTCTGAGAGTTTAGACCTGAGAAAATCAGCGCAGAGAGCCATGGAATACATAAACATACAAGACTGGCATCCAAATCCCATCCAGTCGACACCAAGGCCACACTCCACATTGTAATTCACCACTGCCTCTCAGAAAGGTGGAAAAGTCAGAAACACTTCCAGTGATAGACTGACATGGTGACTTCACCTGAAGTTGGTGCTGCCTCCCCATCTCTCTTGGAAAGGCACGTAATTCCACATCAGCCCTCTCTCACAACCTGCTTGTGTAATTATACCAGGCATTTTGTTAGTGTTGCCATATTCCTTCCTGTAATCCTCACCACAATCCTGCAAGATAGGTGTTAGCCACAGTTTAAAGATGAACAGTTGAGGCTCTGAACGGCTGAGCAGCAGGACCAAAGTTGCAAAGGTGGGTAAAGAGCCACCTGCTCCATGTGACAGGTTTGAATTCAAACCCAAGCTTGGGTGCTTCCAAATGCTGTTTCGCGTGGGCCTATGCTGGTTTGCATTAAAGGAACACACATGTGGGAACCAGCAGTTGGCGTAATGGCTGTGTTGCTGGATTCCCATGTAGTCGATCGCAGTTCAGTCCTGGACCCCGTGGCTTAAAACTCACGCCGGGCGCATGTGCGTGTGTGCCCAAGATCCCGAGAGGAGAATAGAGGAGAAGGGACTGCAGCGTGGCCATCCCCCCTGGGGGGTGATTTCTTGCTTTCTGTCTCTATGTCTCTCTCTGTCTGTCTGGCGAGCGCACATGCCCTGTAGTGAAAACCTCTCCAAAAAAAAAAGAAAGAAAGAAAGAAAGAAAGAAAGAAAGAAAGAAAGAAAGAAAGAAAGAAAGAAAGAAAGAAAGAAAGAAAGAAAGAAATATACATGTCTCCTGGCTGGATCTCGCCAGGTTCTATCATCCCACTTAAGGAAAGGGGGACCCAAGATGTCCAAACAGACTTAGTCTACATTTCACTCAGATTAGAAGAACCCTCTGACAGCTGCCAGAACCATCAATTCTTGCAGAACTTGTCAAATTGCGACATAGCTCATTTATTTTGTTTATATTTTGCTTTGTGTTTGTTTTGGATAGAGAACACATGCACTTGCCAGCGAAAGAGAAAGAA